GGAGATCGAAAGGCTGCTTTAGAAGCTCGGAAGCTACTGTCTGGCGTAGCTTTACCTCCGACGACTGACTTGGAACAAGCCATCGATTTATGGATTGAGGCATGTGACCGTCGCAATGAATTGCGAGAATCAATAAAGACTGAAGACTCTATTGAAGTAAAGAGGGAAAAGGCTGTGTCAGAAGTACTTAGAGATAACTTGACGAAACGGTTATCCAAAAAGCGAGATTTCCAAGCTGTTGTGGAAGCTCGAGAGGTTATTGACCTCACTGCCCCGGGAGATATACGTCGAAAAAGACGTCAAATCCGCGAGAATCTACGTACAAAAAAGGAAGAACTTGAAAGTGGGAGTAAAGACAAAATGCGTGAGGACTTTAGCAAGTTGACTGAAGTTTTTATTGATTATATGACCAAACCATCTAAATGTAGCTGTTCCCATGGTTCAAACACAGGCTGTGTGGCTTTTGAGTCCTCCAAAGCAAGCTCCTCTGAGTCCAAGTCTACCGAATCCGCCTTTTCTGAGACAACCAAATTGGCTGTGGAGGTCGCGGATATCCAGGAAAAACTCTCTCGGTTTGAAGCCAACCAGGAGAATATCAAGGAACTTTTGCTGGAGCTTGTTAAAGGGAAGGGTAAAGAGCAAGTTTAGGCAAGGTAAGTCTCCAAAGAGGGTGGAGATACACGATTGCCAAAGTGATCGCTGATTTGATTGCGTTGTCTTAGGCAGGTTTGGCAGTTCCAGAGAAATACCGATAGCATATAGTTGACTGCAACTGGAGAAAGTCCTACTTTCTGTACACGCTTCCATTCTCCTGACGTGAATTGATTTAAAACATTTGCAAAACCCCATTCCACAACAATTCTATACTTGGACATCATTACATTGAAGGCTTCTTGGTTTGGGGTGAGCCCATATCTTCCTGCACGATAAGGAGCTCTAACTCCATAAGATGGTGCATAAGCTGGATCTCCGTAGAGATATAGCACTTCATTCGGTGTATTGGCTTCATTCGGTGCAATCGGTGCATTCGGTGCATTCGGTGCATTCGGTGCAATCGGTGCATTCGGTGCAATCGGTGCATTCGGTTTGAAGATCTGGCGTAAAATCTGTTCTACTCTTGATTCTTTCCAGAGCTTCCAATCTCCTGTAGGACTAAACTGAGGACCGTACAAGCTGCTGATCAATCCATCTGGTGTGACAATACTTTGAAATTTGATTCCATGATATCCTTTGTGTCCCGAATAGTATCGCTGTTGTTCAATTGTAGGTCTTGCAATTGGACGAACTGTTCCGTCAATGAAACCCCAAGTTTGCATAGATTCCTTCGCCGTCCCATCAATTGCCTTAACATAAGAGCGGAGCTGGGCCATCGAAAGTCTTTGATGATCCCAAAAAAGCTTCTTATGATATTTCTGATGCAGGAATATTGCAAGGTCTACCACAATGCTCGAGATTTGGCTTCGTGATATCCCAAACACATGCATCATGTCCTTCAAGCGTCCTGGAGATGAAAGTCGATAAAGTAACATACAGAGTGCTTGTTCGGCACACTTCGCATATCTTCCCAAGGTTTTAACTGGCGACTCTACCCACTCGATAAGCTGGAGCTTATCGATAAGCTCTAGAATTTCCGCTCTTGAAAACCGCAGGTATTCCAAACACTCAGTATCCCCCCACCCCGATTCCGCTAGTGACCACTCTTTCTTCTCATATGCAATGGGAGCTCGATATAGAGGTGGCCTATTATTATCTTCTTCTTCATCATCGGAAGATTCCGCCTGCACACACTGCCCCATCAGCAGTACCCCCCACATAAGCATGTCCGAGTCATCCGCCATGTTTGTATGTCGTTGCAGGTTGCGGCTTAGTAACAAGAGATATCAATCTAAGTTTGCAAAACCTCTTTTTCTACACTTTCGTGCACACAGGGTTCCAAGTGCGCTAGCTGGGTTGTGAGATATCTAGCGTGCAAGGGTGCAAAACCTCTCTAATATCGATGGTACAGTGAAGTCCCGTTATAAGAAACCCCCGTAATAAGAAACAGTGCTCCGGTCCGGCTAGAATTTGTATGGGAAAATAAGAAACCCTCGTTACTAGCAGGTTTCTTAATTATTTGCTTAGTAATACATATAAAACCGTGAGTTTCTTATAACGGGTTGAGCCGCAGATATTACCCCCCAGTAACAACCATATTGTGCGAATCGTACACATGGCTGCACACCAACCGGGACGCTTAGAACTACTAGCTCCACTTCGTCCACAAGGTCGACTCTCCGGCCTGCCCCAACTGCGACCACCGCTCCGAGAACAGCTACCATGTTACCTTTAACTGGCAACTGCCCCCACCACCACCAACAGCGCCAGGAGCTCATCGGGAATGGGAGGACTTGGACATACCAATTTGGAGAAAGGAGGAGGGAGAAGAGGAGGAGTGGGATGTGGTAGACACGTACTTTGCCTACCTCTACCACTCCCTAGCCGATCGATAGGAAAGTGAGCATGGTTGCGATTTGTAGATATTTGCTGCGTCTTTTTCATCTTTTGCTTGCTTTGCGTTTGATTTTGCTTGTTTTGCGTTTGATTTTGTACGTAGCCTACCCAGGACGTCAGATTAACTTGACTGTCCCTTGAATCCACTCGGGTTTCCGGGTGGCTCGTCATATGACCCTTAAGGTTGTGCATACAAGTACTGAGTTCAAAAAAAGAAAAAAAGATTAATGATCACCTAATATGTGCTTCTGGTTCTGAGTTCAATTCCCACTACTATTATTTCTTTTTTTTTTTCCTAGGGACGTTGCCAAATGATTCAATTCCCACTACTATTATTTCTTTTTTTTTTTTCCTAGGGACGTTGCCAAATCAGGGCGGCATTGAAGTCGTCCTTGCATAGCTTTAGGAAATCAATACAAGCCATTTGTGACTCAGGAGTTAATCATAGTTCCTTAACATCAAATAGTAATTAATAAGTAGGTCGCCGCATCCGTAGCCTAGCTAAGTACTTAAGGTTCAATTCTGCCAACGTATATATGACGTTTCTTTGCCTCGCCATGATCTTAGGTCGGATGTGAGTGATGTGAGTGATGTGAGTGATGACTAAAAAAGGGAAAAAAAAAAGAAGGCCAATGCTAATCAATAGTCAAATCGTTTTGCATAGCCCCTTTGATTTACATGACAATATGAGACCTAAACCTGCCGCCGTCTCACATCACACACGAGAGAATTCGCTAAGTAGATTTAAATCCATGCTGCTATCCTAGTCTAATGTGGTAGTCTACTGATTTAAGCACCACACCAAATAAATCGGTAAAATGAGACAAGCAACAAAAATAAGAGTACGTGCATATGGATAATTGCTAGTCTCGTGCCGATACTTGCAAAATCCCGAAGCCAAGAGGAACAGCTTCACCTGGGCAAATCTAGTCCAAAAGTCTACTATGAAGCCTAGATCTTCTGACAGCCACTCTCCTCTCGATCTTGCAAGCACAGCATCCACAAAGCTTTCTAATCTGTGTGCTTTATAAAACGAAGTGCTTTGGCTTGTCATCCAATCTAAGTCCACTTCCACCCCAGCGTTTCGACCAGCTTGCCTCAACTGCCCAAGTCCTTTACCACTCCACCAACACTCGAAAAACTCGAAAATTTCCCGGTCATAAAGATATGCATCTTTGGCCGGCACTCCAATCCTAAGTCTACGGAGTTTAGGACAGCAAACAGTCCCACCCCGCTTCTCGCTTCCTTTCAGCCGCAGTACCTGGCATATCCTCTCCCTCTGGGAACCAGCGTTTGCTGGGTGTGTAAATACAATCCAAGGATGCAATTCAACCGGCGTCCTATCTCTTAGGACTTGCACCAGACCAACTGCAAGCGTGAGCGTTTCCAGTGAAGGAGGAAGGGAGAAGCCGAAATGCGAAGGGATTTCTTGGTTCATTCCCCGTGGAGATGGCTCTGAATGGTCGAAGAACCACAGTGGGATATCTAGGCTTCTCAGCTTGGGAAAGCTGGCAAACGAGGCATCAGTATACATTTCGCAGCGAGAAATGCCGCGAAGACTGAGAGACTCTAAGGTCTCTGCGGCTGTCTGCAACGCTGTCATGAAGGAGTGAAGGAAAAAACGTTCATTAGTGTAGCGGAGTCTTCGGGCAAGTAAGTGAACTCCTCCAAGCGGAGCAGGATTTTATGAGTGCAACCTGCACTGAAGTTGAGGGATCACACTCTGACAGGGTGATTTTGCTAATGGACGAGGTTTCCAAGGGCAAGAGCCGTGTCCAACTGTCAGGAATCAGTCGACGTCCCATCCATAGCTCATTGACGGAGAGCGATTTTAGAGAGGGAATCTTGTACATCCCTAGCAGGTTCGATGCAAAGCCCTGATGCTCGGAACCATTGTATAGTTGCGTGATATTCAGCGAGGTTAGGATGAAGAAATTGGTTCCCACGAAAGGGTAAATCTGTCCTGAGCCTAGCTCCTTGCATAAGGCATTCATGATAAGATCTATCATTTGAAAATCCTGCAGGGAATGCTATTCTATCCTGGTTCGCTGGGGGGAGAGCGAAGCTAAACCGAACCGAACCCTAGCTTTAGCGAAGGTCATTAGAGGGTAGCTTCGCTCACCTTGTCGCAACAAAACGTAATTACTTCACGGAGTTACCGCTTTGGATTTCGACTACATGGCAGATTTATTACCCAATAAACAAGCGCACAGACAACCCACCAGACCTAAAGCTGCGGGGCAGGGAGCAGCCCGGTGGTAGGATAATCCTCCAGGCGTAACCTGGGGTGATGCGCTGCCTCGCCATAAGCGAAGTGCTTCAATGCGAGTACTGATTTACCAAAAAAACAAAAAAGAAAAGACCTAAAGCTGCAACTGGGTAGCGTTTTGGAGGAAGATACTCCACTTCATTTACCCTGAACATTCCGCTAGGTAACCGTTAAAAATTACTCTTCGGTCACATCTTGGGAATATTATGCCAATCAGACAAACAACGTCAACTCTGGTTCTGATTCTATGGTGCAATTGGTTAGCGCGTCCGGCTGTTAATTCTCACTTTACCTTCTAGTGATTTGAGTTAAGTATATACCGGGAGGTTTAAGTTCGAGTCTTCCTAGTACCGAGCAGCTTCTTTTATGTTGATGTTTGGAGGTAATTTATAATTCTGCTTTTTCGGCTGACACCGTTTGCCGCGGCTCGGTAGGTATGTCAAGCTCGAACCCCTGCTTCCCACTTGGGCCTCCGACTCCGCCAAAGGACACATCTTGAGAACACCATCCTGAGCTGTAGTTTCCCAAGTTATGCGGTATCCCACCGGAGTGGTCAAAGAAGAAGAAATTTAGGATCGTTCAGCACATTCTGTTAAAAGTATTCGGCGTTGGAGGAATCATATAGCCCTAGTCAAAAGACCCCTAGCCTAGACTACTAATTACCCTCTATCCCTCTATTGATACCGGTATGTCGCATCAAAATCTTGCAGGCATGTAAGATCCATCTGTAGGTGCATGTAGGAGAACTGGGTTGGGGTGCATAGCCGAATGCACAATCATAACCCGTTGGTGTACATGCTGTATCTGGCTCCTATTCAATAGCTCCTGAATGCAAAGCACACGCGACGAGCCGAGCCAGTCCCGAATTCCATTGGTTTAAGGGACCAAAGCATTAAGTTGTGTGGTACAAAGTTCTGAGAGTGCAAGCTGGCTCCGCCTGCATGAATGTGATGTGTATAGTACAGTATATGTACATGTAGTCATGCGCATCCGCTGATGCCACGCGAAAGGTGCTCAAAACCGTCGCTTAGAAGATCTGCATTATTCACTGCGCAGTAGCGAGCAGTCTGGTTGCACCAGAGGTCGTTGTGTCTACCAGACTAGGTTGCACAAGACTAAGTAGCGAGGTGGTTGTACTAAAGGCCGCAGCTGCCGTTGCCGTGTCCCCTATTTAGAGCCTTCTCATATTAACTTTGGTGGAAGGGTATAGAACGGAATTTGCTTCCCGCCGCGTCTTAATGAATCACAACAGTAGATTTGACGAGCTCAAGTCAGCTGAATCACCAATATACATTATATAAAACAATTCCTGTGGTTTTCACATACATCTGGCGATAATTCTAAGCCAGTGGGATGTTCACATGGGAATTCACATCCGATAAAGAAAAGCTTACCTGGAACCACCATATAGTGTTTTGCAAGTTACACTCTGGGAAGAAACGCGGGCGCGCCTGCCCTAGTGTAAATGAAGCCCACCCAACTTCTTTCTATAAATGGAAAAATGGGTTGTGTACAATGATGTTTCCAAATCCAATAATTTAACTAGACTACATAACTTATGCTTTCCGAATACTGTAGCCTATTCTAAATTAGGTCTCCTCCTAGACCTAGTGACACTAGGTACCAAAGACAATGCTGTAGGAGTATGACCAAGCTTGTAAATCTTGCTAGCAGCAGTTTTCTAGGCCAGACATTTTATGACTCTGGTAGATGACACTGCATAGAAACTGCTGGTTTGATTAATAAATCATGTGCTCGCCGGGCTGCCTGCCGGCCTGTGTCTGTCATCCAAGTATACGTAGCAGTCCTGTCACGACCGAGAGATGAGGTAGGTAGCTTCCAGTCCCGCCGGCTTACACCCCTAGATGCCGTTCTTTCGAAACCCTATGTCTTATTGCTAACTAAGTATGGTTGTCGATGCGAATGGCTAGCCTCACCGCGTTCACCTTACACTCGTTTCTCTAAGAAACAGTGTGGCCATGCCGATGACTATGGCACCATACCGCCCTTATGTGGGTGGTTCCAAATTTCTATTGAAAAGTAAATCGTGCCCACAGTATGCACGAGTGGAGTAACAAGCTTTCTACTTTCCACAACATCCTCGCTTTGCATAAGCATGCATTTTCTAGCTCACCTCAGAGCTAATAAGCACCAACCAATAGTGGACTATAGTAGCGGGACTAATGGAATGGGTTCCTCAATTGCCAGTCTTCAATTCGCGTGTCGGCATGTCCCGTCTGCAGGCCAACCCAACGCAAGAGGATGTTTCGTAGATCAGGTAAAGCGGCCAGTGGGCGAAGAAGTAATCTATCGCGAGTATGAATGTGATTGCCTTGTAGAGCCAGTACTGTGTCCTACTTCATGGGCATCTAGGTTTCTGTCTGGTGATAGTTCTAGCGGTCTGGTGGCTGTTCGTGCTCTGACAAGTGCTTGTCTCGACCCTGAATACGTGCTTGTACTTATGTATGTATGTTGCCTGGTACGTCACTAAACATGAGTATACTTACATAGAGGGGGTTGTGCCAACCAGACTAACCGAGGGGCTAGTGCAAGCCAGACTAACTTAGTCTCTCCCAAAAAGGGAGCCTGGGCACTTCACGTGCGTACGCAGTGGTCTTTGCAGACGTCAGAATCCGTACGGTAATTCCAACTTTTCTTGAGCAATGATGTTCCCCCCCCCCCCGCCCCCAATTGGCTGGCAGTGCAGATACCAGTATAGCTACTAATTGCTTAATAGCTACCAGGTTGTGCACCCAGTGTGTTACGTGTTCGAACAGTTGTCTGGATACTAATGGCCAGTGGCCAAATGCATGTCTAAACAGCCTTAAACAACTGTGTTTGAACAGGGCTGGCATTTGTGTGGAGGCATGGTATAGGAGGCACGACCGATGGTATGCACTCTGCATCTCCTGAACACTAATCTATGCATACAGGTCTATCCTTCTGCGGCCCGTACATACCTGCGTTGTGCCAACCAGACTACCTACTTGCTTAACGCCAGGTATTCGAAAATAGCCTGGTATCGAATCTAGCCTCATATCTACCATGACTGGGGCCAGATAATCTGGTTGGCACAAGCCTCTCGTAGAGAGGGGCCAGACTGCTCGTAGATATCAATTTAGAGATAGTCGACATGAAGGTCGGGTGCAGTACATTTGTTCCGTTCTCTACGAGAGGCGGTGCCCGCCAGACTACTGTTCCGTCCCCCCAGACATACCCATTTTTCTACACTTCCTACTTCCAAGCGGCCAACTGCTGAGTCAAGGTGCAAGCATCAGCGTAGGAAGCCTCCTAGGGACTTCATATGCCAAGGGCTAGAACTGGTCATAGGGGTACCTTTGCTGGGGGCTGGCTGGTTATTCTCCGCCGCATTTACACTCCACTTTGACAGTGAACGGTGGACCAGTATGCAGCCGAATAGAGTTCATATTAGTGCACGATAGTTTGGCGGGTGCACGATCGTCAAACCCTCACTAGTAGGACCGAACCTCTAGTCTGATTGTGTATCCTCGATTACAGTTCCTAAGAGCATGCATTGAACCATCCTGACATGGTATTAGTACAGCTGCACAGTATTATCGTGACGATCTCGGGCTACAACCCAGACGCACTACGAGTATCTGATAAGCCCTGCAACCAGGCTAGATAAGCCCCGCCTTCAATTCACGAACTCCTGCCAGATAAATCGCTAGTCTGGTTGCACGACCCTAAATCGCTAAGAATGGATTGCAAGTTAAGGTGGGTAACCAGACTAGGTGGGTACCTAGTCTGGCTGGCACAACACTACGAGGGTGTTGTGCCGGCCAGACTATGGGTACCACATGTCCTAGTGTCCAGACACTTAGTCTTCGACTAGTCTGGGCCTTCGACGAGATATCGCTAAATAAAATGCAGGGTGCCAACCAAACTAAAAAGTCATTGTTGGTCATGTACGTAGATACGGGCAGAGAGCGGCCCAGGGCCTTGTAATCTCCGAGGCGTGGCCTGGGAAGATGCGCTGCCTCGCCATAAGCGAGATCTTCCATGAGAGTAATGAGTTATTAAAAAAACTAAAACTAAAAAGTCACAAAATAGTCTAATAAACTAGGCTAGGAGATTGTTTGAATTATGTAACTTCGTCAAAAAGACTTAGATCACTTTTATTAGGCCCGGGCAAATATAATTCGCTCTGTGAGAGGAGAGAATACGAGGATATAGCACCTAATTGCCTCCGGAGGGACAGGATGAACCAGTCATAATGTGCAAAATGTGTGTCTTCATGTCCCGGAAGATAATCGTTACTGGAGTGGGAGGATACGGTTTAACTATCACCACGTGTACTGTTTACGTATGTTATATTGAGGCGAGGACAATACAAAACCTAGAATCAGCTCAGAATCTTCAGATTTGGAGGGCGCCATCGTTAGGTAAAGGTTTGTCGCACTTCGGACTGCCGCTTGTCACCAAGATGGACTTTGGCCACAATATGTTAGGCTGACGTTGACGTCTGAGGGCTATCCATTGGTTGGTATTGTTACATGGCCGCATAGCTAGCCTCTGCTGGCGCCTGCCGTATGAAGAACCAGCACAGCGAGCAGAGATGAACCAGAAACAGTGTTTCTAGCTTCAGGCCCTTCAGGTTGGTTCTTCCTAAGGTGATGTTAAACACCTACAAACGCCAATATAACTGGCATAGTCAAGAGAAGTTTAGTCCCAGAGGGCACTGCTAGCCAGCTGTAAGGAAAGTGTACTCCTCAAGCGCTTGGCCTCGTTTGGTGCAGCAGATGTAGCTATAACCGGCACAGGGAGGAAGGTTTTAGGACACCTCCGCGTACAGAATGGTGTATCGCGAGAATCCAGTTGCTTTGCCTGCAGCTCACTCTAACTTGCCTTTAGTCCAGTGCATACGAGAGGCCGGTGCCCGCCAGACTAAGTGCAACCAGGCTACTTTTCAGTTTGCATAGGCGCGGAGACCACAATTGCACCAGAGAGGATTAGGCACATCTGATCCAATGAGTCGAGCCAAACTAGTTAGTCTGGTGGGCACCGCCTCCCGTAGAGACAGACTAGTGGAAGCCTTTCCGGTGAGCTATCATTTGATGCCAATGAAGGACGCAATACAATTACCCATGCTACTGGGAGTACTTTGATGCAGCGCCTGGGGATCCTATCTTCAATAGGGCTGGTTTAACTCTAATTATGTTCCTGTTATCGGTATGTTCCACACTATCATCAATCTATCGCATTGCCTCCTTACTGTCTCGTACCCGCCAGACTACCTCGTTACCTCCTTACTGAGCGTAGAGAAATGTTTTGTGTCTCAAGGGTGGTTTGTCCCCAATTGTACTACAAGCCAGCATGTTATTTACCAGCC